TCTTTTCCTTACTTTAACAGAATGAGTCATTTTGAGCTATCCCTGAATACTTCAAACCGGAGATTGACTACTCACAAGTCTTGAAGTAGGGGCATTTATAAGCATATAAATTTTATTAAAATTAAATTCATAAAATAATTTGGACTATATTTTAAATTCAAGATATATTGGTCCAAATAGATATTATGGGCTAATATAATTGAATTAATTATATAAATCGAATATATATAGATTAAATAAATAAGTCTTAATCCATTGGGCTAGCCCAGTTAATTGGGCTAAAGTGATGAGCCCATTTCATTAAGCCCAATATGACATCTTCCTAGAGGCCTAGTTTGGTGCCACATGTCAAATGACGTGGCACGCCAAGTCAAACGAAAGAGCCAATAGGATCGTACCACGCGTTAAAATGACAAGGCATGCCAAGCCAAATTAAATGGCCAATGAAATCGCGCCACGTGTGCAAGTGATATCTTCTGGCCAATCAAATGCGGCCTTGTCACACTTCAATTTGATTGGTCAGAAAGTATTTGTTCTTATTATAACTCTTCCCTCCCACAACTATAAATAAGGGTCTTCATAACCGAGAAAGGAGACCAGAAGTTATAACAAGAAGCAAGAGAGAGCTCGTGGATCAAACGCTGCAGATTTCTCTAAAAGCTACAAGCATTCAAGTGTTCTAAGGATTAAAAGATCAAGACGAAGATTCAAGAACAAGCTGCAAGCCCTTGGAGTAAAAATACGTCAAGATCAAGATCAGGCCTCAAGCACTTGGATTAAAATAAAATAAAATTCAAGATTGAGCTCGAAAGCTCTTTTATTTACTGTTGAAAAGTAGAATCAGAGGAACCATAGTGATTGTAATACTTAAATATTTGAAATAAAATACTACGATTGTTGCAATATTTTCGGTCTTGATTTTATTTTCTCGACGCAATTTATTGTCTACAGCCATGAAATGTGTTCTTTTCAATCAAACAATGCAAATGATTTTTTTTTCTTTTTACCATTGTAAAAATTAGTTCTTCCTCTAAGAGTGTGTTTGGTATGAAGGAAAATATTTTTCTTCGAAAGTAAGTGATTTTCTTATTTATTTTTCGATGTTTGGCTAGGCAGCAGAAAATATCTTTGGAAAATATATAATTTAGGCAGACACTGTATGAGACAAAATGGGTAAGGGCAGGAGAGGATGGTAGGTCGGAGTCTAGGGACCGGAGTGCAGTGGCGATGATGTTAGTGGGGAGAGGTGTAGGGGGTGGGGGTAGGTGTAGGGGGTGGAGTGGAGGTGGGATAGGAAAAAGGTGAGGAAGGTTGAGAAAGAATTTTAAAAAATATTTTTTCTCCTTTTGATGGGAAGTCATTTTTCTCCGATTGAAAAAATAATGAGTCAGGAAGAAAATATTTTTTATAATATTTTTAAGCCATGGAAAAATTGGAATTTCATACCAAACACACCCTAAATGACATAAAATATGATCGTTTTCAAGGAAAAAAGTAAAGTTGAAGCGATCAAACATACTTTCGCAAGTTCAAATTTGGAATTATTCTTTTAGTCTTCAGTTGCCTAGTCTGATTAACATTTAACATTAATGGTAAATGGTAACTTGCTCCAATCAGAGAAGCTAATAAACACGTGCTAGTGACTTTTGTTTAACTTTTGTACATCACTTGGACAAATTATTTTTTGATAACTTATGATTGGACTAGTAGGCATGAGCCAATGTAACTTAGCAGAACTAACATACGATGTTATCCTAAACTCATTTTACAATTCATCACCTTTTTCGTATTAAAGAGTTGTTGCCAACCACGAAAAAGTATGGAGGAATGGATAAGATTCAAGAACTTTAACCAGTGGGTTTAATTCGAGTTCTAAAAATGAATTTTTTTTGGTAGGAAGCGATTATCCCATTAATGAATCATACACGATGCAAATCAAAATTAACGGACTAGTGAATTCTGGACACATCAAATGATTAAACCAAAATTTTAAAAGTCGCTGCCCCTTCTTGAAAATAAGCACAAAAAGAAAAACATAAAGTGAAATAAGAACAACGAAAGTTTAAAATTACCGCAAACAACACAACCCCGCAACCCAGTTTAATTAAGAATGGACCCTCTTTCCTTTAACGGCAAAGGGCCAAATATACCCCCTTTACTTTCGAAAATGGTTTAAGAATAACCCTCGTTATACTATTGGGTTATCTATACCCTGCAGTCATACTTTGGGTTCAAATATACCCCTCATTTAAACGGAGGGACATGTGTCATTGCCCTGTTGGTCAATTCTAAATATCTCCTAATTAATTAAAAACACTCATTACCCATACCCGGAAAAAAAATTTGTAAAAACTAAAAAAAAACTAAATTATTTTTTACTAAAAACTAAAAAAAAACGAAAATATTTTTTTTTTCAGTTTTTACAAAAAAACCTGCTTTAAAAAAATTAAAATATATTTTCTAAAACAATATTTTTGTAAAAACTGAAAAACAAAAAGAGCTGAAAATCAATTTTATAAAGCAATTTTTTTTGTAAAAATTGGAAAAAACTGTATTATTTTTTTACTAAAAACTGAAAAAAAACTAAAATATTTTTTTTTCCAGTTTTTACAAAAAAAACTGCTTTAAAAAAAGTTGAAAAATATTTTCTAAAACAATATTTTTGTAAAAACTAAAAAAAACAAACTAAAAAGCAATTTTCTAAAGCAATGTTTTTGTAAAAACTAAAAAAACAAATATTTTCTTTTTTTCAGTTTTTAGTTAAAAATATTTCAGTTTTTTTCCAGTTTTTAATTGCTTTAAAAAATTAATTTTCAGATTTTGTTTTCAGTTTTTTACAAAATATTATTTTAGATAATATTTTTCAGTTTTTTTAAAGCAGTTTTTTTGTAAAAACTGAAAAAAAAATCATTTTTTTTTCAGTTTTTAGTAAAAAAAAATTTAGTTTTTTCCAGTTTTTACAAAAAAAAAATTATTTTTCGGGTATGGGTAATATGTCTTTTTAATTAATTAGGAGATATTTAGAATTGACCAACAGACACGTGTCCCTCTGTTTAAATTAGGGGTATATTTGAACTCAAAGTATGACTGCAGGGGTATAGATAACCCAATAATATAACGAGGCGTATTCTTAGACCATTTTCGAAAGTAGAGGGATATATTTGGTCCTTTGCCGTTCCTTTAATATAGTGAAAATGTAGAAACAAGGGTGACCTAATTTAGTTTTTTTTTTTTTTTTGAATTACCAAAATTATAAGAAGGACAAAAAAATGTCAGCTACCATAACAATATCTACTATGCTAGGTATAAAAGTATATCGAATTTTTAATAATAAGTTCAAACAGTAAATAATTCTGTTTTCTAGAACTAATAAGATAGCAACTACATAAAAAATACTACTCAAAAAGATATTAAATTATATAAAAGCTAAAGAATAATTGAGAAATCGTGATAGGAAAGAAAAAGGAATTTGCATGACCTTTCAAAGTATACCAAGGTCAATTAGCATAACAATGTCTGCTATACTATTATGTTTCTATGGCTGTTAAAAGAGGTGGAAATTCGAGTCAAAACTAGAATCTTGGCTGTTACAGTACTTATGCATTTTGTATTCAACATATATACGGCTGGAAGAAGACAAGAACACACATGTATTCATGCATACATAGTATATCATCCATTTCAATTTAATCACTGAACCTATTTAACTGATTTAAAAAAGTTGGAAACTTTTAAATTTCTGGTCTTAAACATGTCATAATAATTGTATTGCTAAATGACCTTGAAAACTCGTGGTCTGAAACTTACTATAACGTACATTTGTGTAGCTATATATATAATCGTCATTTAAAGGTATAATGAAAATTTTAAACTAAATTACATTCATTTTTAAAAAGGAGTCACTCTTCTTGAACAAGACTAAAAAGAAAATTGATTCACATAAATTAAAATAGCAGGAATAATATATAAACTAGAAATTAAAGGATGCAACAAATTATATTATGAGAAGCCAGGGTACTATTTACCATTCAAATATTCCATTCAAATATTCTTAATAGAAAAAAACTCACTTAATTGCTTTTATGTTAGTTTCTAATTATCTAAATTTATTTTACTAACTTTAACAAATTGACATTTGAATTGAGATTAAAATTAGAAAGATTAATTTGGCCCTCGTGCTACGAACCTCTTCATTCTTTTCAAAACAAGAGGAGTACTATTTGATTTTCCTATTAATCTTTCTAGCTTTGAAAAAAGGATTCTATTTCGTCACATGACATGTGCACTAGAACTTAAATTAATAGAGTAGTAGATTTTCTTAGATATGATTCATCTTCCTTTCCAAGAATTCTATTTCCTTTATTTATTTGTCATGTAGCATGCATGTTATTTCCAAGAAACAACATATCCCTATTTAGGCTTCTATACACGCTCTCTCCATTCTAGCCCCACAAGATGGCAGAAAAAACAGTACTCCTAGTAAAAGAAATGAAGTATAAAATCAGTAAATGGGAAGAGGGAACTGATGAAGATAGGTTTTTTTTTTTTTTTTTTTTTTTTTTTTTTT